ACTGAGGGCATCCTGGCGGGGACAGGGCGGCGGGGGCCGATCTCGCGGGGCGCGGGGTCTCGCCGCCTCTCCTGGCGCCCAGGACTCCCAGTCTCCCTTCCCCTTCCTCCCTCCCTTCACCCCTCTCTGTCTCTGTCTCTCCCCTTTTCTCCTCTCTACGCAATCCTACGTGATTGAGGTTTGGATGAGAAATTCTCAGAGGCAGAGCGAGGGAACTGCAGCTCGGATCTGCTCTGTCCGGTCCCTCCGCAAGAGAAAAACACAGCCCCTGGTCGGTGAAGGGTGAGGGACCTGGATGCTGGATGCAGAGAAGGGGGGTCGGGGTAGTGGAGCTGAAGGTAATTCATTCATATTCATATTCTCAGTCATATTCTCCCTCTCTCTCTCTCTCTCTCTCTCTCTCTCTCTCTCTTTCTCTCTCATAAGCTGTACCAAGTCTCATTCTCTATCTAGGAAGAAAGGAAGTAGACACTGGAGAAAGTAGCAGTGGCCCTTGGGCTTTCATGTCCGGGTCTGCCTTCGGCTCATTTGGAGATTGTTTCTGTCTCCTTAGAGCCCAAATTTCTTGATTCAGTCTGGATTCCTGCCAAGCAGGCTTAGTCCCTGAAAAGCAGGACCCAGGTGAGCTGTCTGCACCAAAGTGGGGGAAGGGAGTGATACGCACAGACAAAAGCATGGGCAATATGGGCAACAACCGTCTTTGGAGATCAAGAAGGTCTAGGAAGTGCTGAAGACAGCTGATGTTAGAGAAACACAAGAGCCATCCAACCTTGAAGGCAGCATGAGGGATTTCGGAAACTGGGAGGGAGTAATCACAGTTCGTTCACGCTAAGATTTAGGACCAGGTATTAGCTCTCTTCAACTTGTTCTCAAATATTCCCAGATATTCAAATATTCTTTTCTTCCCTGACATCTCAGGGGTATGCCAAAGAATGAAATGGATGATTCCCAAGCAGAAACAGGCATATGTTGGAAAGATCTTAATTCAGGCCAAGGAAGATGTGGAGGCAACTGGAATGGATAGGGCACCCAGAAGAGCCCTGGAGGGCTCCAGGTGTGTGCACAAACCTGTGGGCATAGGTAACATTTTTCTGGGCTGTGAGAAAGGTTGAGATCCTTGTTCTTCAGAACAAGCACCGAGCCTAACCACCAACCCAACAGCACCCTGGACCATCAAGCTGCCAGATGGGCAAAGCAGAGGCTGGCAAATAAGGGTCAAGGAGACAGACAGCTGTGGGAGGGAGAGAAGACAGATAAATCACCCTGAGGAAGGGAAGTCCGGAGTGCTCATGAGGAGCCAAGGTCTCCTGCAGCAGTTCAGTGTTGCTGAATGAGGATTATAGACACATTCCCAGAATTCGAAGAACACAGAAGACAGCTGAGATGAGACACACACCACTCTGCTCCAGGAGTGAAAATGAGTGCACATTCAAAACTGCATCAGGAGGGGGCAAGAATGATGTCTTAAAATCGATCAGTAACAGAAATAAGTAGAAACAAAGACTTTGCAAAAGGGGAAGGGTGGAGGGTTGAAGGGAGGGCAGGGGAATGGAGAAAAAATAAGAACCAAGATCCATCATGTAAAAGGTACAAGTTACCAATGATGAATGTAAATGTACTGTATACCTCAAATCTACCAATAAAAGAATTTGGGAGAAAAAAGAATGATCAGTAACACTATCAATCAGGGAAAGGTTTGCATTCTTCAATTAAAATTACTTTCTTTCCTTGAGCTAGCAATGATCTTGTCTCACTCTTGAGCAACACAGCCACAGCTCATGCTGGCTGGGCTCCCTGCCTTTTGCAAGTTAACACCCAATCAGAACAAGGTTTGCTGAAGGGACTATCCAGAGCCGTAACCAAAGAGGAGATGTGTGATGAAGCCTTGAGGGTATTACTGCTAAACGTGGAGTCTCTTTTATTCTCAGAATGGAAATAATGATTCCCATCTACCTCACAGAACTAAATATGCACATGTAAACATTTTGAAAACTGGAAAATGCCAGATGAGTGAAAGAGATGATTTCAGTGTTTATTATTTTTTTCATGAAGATCACCTGAGATGCTTCTTTAAAAATTCAGATTCCTGGTAGTCTCTCTGAATATGAAGCAGAAATCTCTGCAGTTATGGCTTAGGAGTCTGATTCTTAACAAGTTCTCCAAGTGTCAGACTTTTGAGAAATCAATGTATGTGTGTAATGGAGAAATAGGCAAATAAAATCACACTCAAGATCTGGCACAGCACCCAAAAGTGTAGCCCTGTGCCCTAAAAAAAAGGTCTGAAAAAAGAATGTGTGTTCTCAAATGTTTTTGTGCTGCTGGCTTTTTTTCTACAGGCTTGTGGCAAATTAGGATGCTTTAATATGGAAGACAACCAAGACAGAGTTGTAAGTAAGAAGGAATTGCTGAGAGAAGAGTTGAAAAAGCAAGTAACAGTTGCTGTTTGCACCTTAACATGATAAAATCAAATTGAGTGCTTAAAGAAAAAAAATGAAACATCTAAAGGCAGCTTTCTGAGATGGACATTATATTTCTGTCTTTCGATCTCGATTAAAAAACTGTGATGTTTGGGATCCTATGGGACCAAAATGTGACTTTTCCCTTGCACTCTTGTGGATACTATCAGAGTGCTTTTCTCTGCAGCTGTGTGGTCCTTTAAATCATCTCTGGCATTGCATGATAAAAAATAAGCTGAGAAATTAGGTAGTACCGAAGTCTATGGCTGAAGCAATACTTAAGTCTTTCGTTAATTCATAGCTTTTCAACTTAGGCCGCTTAATCTTGTGAGCCTTTCTTCATGGTTAATGGATCATTTCCAGTATCTTGGCATTTTGAAAACAGGAAAGAAGTTCAAATCAAAAGGCTGATGACCTAAGTTAAACAACCAGATAGTTTAAAGGATGATATCTCAGGGATAGCACTACCTTGATTTTTATATCCTTTTTGCAGGGGAAAAGGTAACTGGAAATTAAATCCAGGGTTTTCAGACTAAACTACATCCCTGCCCTTTAAAAAAAATTTTTATATTTTTTATTTAGAGACAGGTTTTCTAACTAGGCTGCCAGGGCATGGCTAGAATTTGAACTCTTTCTTCCCCCACCTCTCCCAGTGTGAGACTGCAAGCATGTACCACCTCACCTGGCCTGGCTACTATGATTTTTAAGCAACTAAAGAATTTTCTTTTCAACTTTGAAGCCATCTTGTCTGGAAAAACTTTTAATTAACTTGGAGAAAGTTGCCAGATATACATGAAAGGGCTACTTACAGTCATGTTTATGTTTATTACATCCAGTCAAACAAAACATGAACAGGCTTACTTGCCTCAATTTTTAAAAAATAAAAGCAAGGAATATTTATCTTTTGCTTATTCATAGTCCAACTCTTCCAACTCCCAAATTGAACTGTTTGAATTATGTTACACATACACTTTAAATTTAATGGAGCACATACTGTAACGAGCTTTCTTTGTCATTTGCTGAAGGGGACTCTATAGTTTTACATTCTCCTTACCCTCAACAAGCTTACTTTTCATACTAGCATGATTTTTTTTTTTTTGCTTTTAATCTTAACCACCACTCACTATCTTATCCTACTGGATAAATGAACTAACCTTTCTAAATAGATAAACAGTAATGATACGAGCAGTGTCTACCTAACTGGGCTCCTCTGACATTGAAAGACTATGTGACAATAATGCAAAGTATGAGACTAGACCTGCTGTCACTGTGTTATTCCTTCAAATCAAGTCCCCAGTATAAAAGAGCAGCCTCGCAAAACAGGAAATTATAACTTGTGATTCATGCACATCATCATTCACTCCTAGACATAATATACTTAATGAAGGCTAAAAATCTACTTGAAATAAATGATTAACCTTGACATTGTAATGGCAAACTGAATTTTCATTAGTGGAATATCATCAGTGTCCTTGTCTGTTGGGAACATAAAGAAGACTTGTTCTGATTATACATCATCTTCCTTTGAGATGAGGCCCCTGACTCAAAGCTTGGAGAC